CTCAGGAGGCTCGTTGGCTCACCTTCCTCCTCCAGGAGCTTGGTTTCCCACAGTCCGCCCCCACCCTCTGGTGTGACAACCAGAGTACCATCCACATCTCTCAAGACCCTGTGTATCACACCCGCACCAAGCACATTGAACTCCGGCACTTCTTCATCCGTGACCTTGTCCAACAAGAGCAGTTGAAAGTGGAATACGTTGCATCTGACTGCAACCTGGCTGATCTGTTCACCAAGCCCCTTGGGAAAGTTCCCCACCACCGTCTCCTTGGCGCCATGGGGCTCTGTGCTCCACCCTCTCTACCCTGAGTTCGATTGACGCCTATGGGGGGGTGTTAGTGTTAGTCTTCAATCTCACAATTTGTACTTTGTATTTTCTATATCCTAGAGTAGCGTAGTTTGCACATTGTGTCTAGTTGGGTGTACACCTACATCCCAACCAAACCCAAATGTAATCTCCAACCAATCTCCAACCCACCAATTGGAGATTGCCTTGGGATTACCCCCAATCCCTAGAGATTGCCCCCGATTCCCTTCCCCATCCTTTTCCTACCCCTCTTGGATGTACTTAAAGAGCTTCAAGCTCATTACTAATGCATCACTTCTAAGCCTATTTCTGACATTATCATGCCGTTTCATCAAGCATATACACCAAAAGCCAGGAAAGGTGGGCAATCTATTCAAAACATCATTCATACATGACAATCGTGTCTATTGATGCTAATGCTCAATTTACTTCCATTGCTGGCCATTCAGTATATTCTCAATTTCCAGATGCACAAGGCCAACATATTCTCACCACGACCCCTCTCTACTCTTTTTTTACTTCTCTTATGCGTCTACACATGGAATCCATCATTTTTTCCCTCAGAAATCTGCCCAAGAACAACTTGACAGGGTCGATACCATCAACAATTGGTGGCCTGAGCAACTTGGCATATCTGTTAGTATCTGCCTTTACTACAACCCATGAACCATAAGAGCACACAACTGGAATGTCAAGTAAGGAAAACACCAGGCATTACAGGAATTCCGGTCCTGTACTTGGAACCAATACGAACATTTGTGCCTCAAATTGGTAAAAAAGACTGTGTTTATTTTGCGTGAATACAAGTTAGACCTTTTGGTAAACGATCTGAGCCATAAAGTTTTACTGCTGTTGTATTTCCAACTCACTAGAGCTGATTATATCCAGGTATTGAATATGTCCTTGATGAATATAGCAGCTAAGGATGTACCAGCGTCACAGTATGCCTGGAGTACTGTCAATATCCCACTGTCAGTATAGCAGCAAAGGTATTTCCGCCACATTGTTATTTACCATCATTATCCCTCCCTCCCTTGTTTCTCCTGTGCATGTGGACTCCACCTATTGGCCCATTAGAAATCTAGGTTGGAACTACTTATCTGGATACATTCCAACAACCATTGGCAGCTTGAGCAGTCTCACACACCTGTCAGTATCTATTGTTAGCACAATTTGCTTTGGGTATCTAGGACCGCACCAATGGCTCCACCCCTGTGTGCACTTACTGATTGTTATCTTTGGCTCAATATCTGTACACATGTCGAAACATCATTTTGTGGGTGGCAGGCATTGTGATGCTTTGTTTCCTGTATACTGGCAACTCACTGCCCCTGGTATATGCCATCTCGTGCCTCATTAGGATTCCAGGTGTTAGCAACTTTTACTTGTTCCACAATTGCACCAACACACAATGGCTTATCATTGCTGTCGTTCTCTCCTTATCTTGTTCATTTTTTCTTTACCTATGGATCCGGTCTTGTGCAGAAGGCTAGATGGGAACAAATTTTCTGGATGCATTCCCCCAGAAATGGGCAGCTTGAGCCATCTCACACAGTTGTCAGTGTTCCCCATTAGCAGACTTGCGTTCTCTCTCCCTGCTTGTTCCTCTGTACTCTGCCTTTTCCCTCTCATAATTCCCCATATGTACTTAGTCGGTTTCGCCATGCTTGTTGTTTTGATCTCAGTGGGTCACAACGAATAAACATATCGTGAAAACAGAAACAACATACTCACACATTTTATGGGGTTGTACGATGCATCCACAAATGCAGCCACAGAGATGGGGTCGCATGTCCACCAAACTACAACGGCTGCGTTGTCACACAGAACAGTTCCAGTGCCTTCTGCACAGAATGCACCTCATTCTGCAATACCTGTGACAAATGTGAGAATAACTTCTACCACGAGATTACTCACAGTTCTTGCCAATGCCGCTGACTGTTTGTCACGGTCTAAGGATAACTTGATAGCATCTGATTGCTTCTCATCCCAGTGTCAGTGGGAGCCATTGACGGAATTGTTGCTGGTGGTGCGGTTTTCTTGGTGCTGCTGGTGGTTGCCATTCTGCTTTGGAGGAGGCGTTGTGCCAAAGAGGCAACACATAGAGCAGCAGCAACTGACAAGGGGCAAAAGAAGTTTGTGAAAGTCAAGAGTCTCCAAGATGAACCCTTTTCTCCCTCTAAATCAACCAAGGTACACAATGTACCGGTGCCTGTGACAGACTGTTCACTTAGTCCAGACTGTTTGCTCTCAGATGGCAGAGAGAAAGCCATCAATAACAGTGAGGCCCTTCAGCATCTGATTGATTCACGATCACACCAGCCTCATTGAGCGTGTCTGCTAGGGAGTGCACCATTTTTTCAATGTACACCACCAGACGAGCTGCAGCTCGTTGTTACGACGAGCAGCATGCGGCTAAGCTGACCCTGGATCGAAGCCCACATAACTTAAATTGCGCTGGTCATGTGGCTCTGAGATCTCCTGGTTGGCTGGTCCTTGCTCTTTTCTAAGAAAACCCTGTGTGCAGAAGCGGACAGCTTTTCTCTCGTGTGAGGATGAAATGACTATCAACCATTGCTGGCGTTCAATGAAGTCGGTGAAAGTGTTGCTAGCTGTACAACATTGTGCCATGGCTGCTTCTGGATCTGCTATCAGAGTTTATCCACTCCTGAGTGTCAAAATTCTTTCTCTTTCTCTTCATGTTTTAAATTTGGAGTTGAATGAACAAGCACTCTCTTCCTACCACTCACATCCCTGAACATGCAGAGTCACACAGGAGGAAAGAGGATCCAAAAGCAACCATGGCAACAGCAGCAACAAAGAGGGGCCAAAAGAAGAGTGGGCTTTTGCCCGTTAATACATCAGCCCGAACAAGTACACCCATTCTCAATCACGCACAAACTTCCTGGTTTCTCCAGACAACCTGGATCTTTACATTCTTTTCATAGCTTTTCATGGCTTTTCATAACCTTAATATTCCTGATTCCATTCAGGTTATTCACACCCTTTACATCCTTAAATCTGCAGAGTCAAAAAGGATGGAAGAAGATCCAGAAGCAGCCATGGGAGCCAAAGCAGGAGCAGCAGCAGCAGCAGCAAGACAGGGCCCAAAAAGAGGTTGGTTGTTGGTACCATACCTTCAAAGCTAATCATTTCCACCCGTCCTCTGCTCCGCTCACACTTCAATCAACTCACCCATATTTTCCATCTCCTCCAGTCTTCGTTTTCTGTCACTTTATGTCGAATGTGAATGACCAGTTGATTGAGATAAGTCCGCTCTTCCCACTGCTCAAAACCCATGACACGCAGAGGAAAATGATCCAGAAGCAATAGCAGCAGCCATAGCAGCAGCAGCAGGAGTAGCAGGAAAAGCAGGATCAGCAGGGGCGGTGGATGGAGATGTGGTGGTGGAGATGGATGCAGCACGGCCACAGGTGTGCCAAGAGTACCCCCTGGTAGTGCTTGCAAAGGCAACGGCGGAGTGGGCAGAGAGGAACAGGATTGGCAGCGGCAGCTTTGGTGATGTGTATAAGGGAGTGTCTCCCCACAACCGCACTCAGGTGTGGGCCGTGAAACGAGCCAGAGTCCTCACCAATGACTTTCTCACAGAGGTAAACTTGAGTAGGTAGCTTGAGCTCATGCGACTGTCTTCCTTTTTTTATATTGGTTCAATTTCCCATCAGGATTTTTTTGCTACACCCTGGGCCTGCATATTGTTCCTAAAAATAAGGGTCTTTTTTAGATCTATCCCTATTGTAAATCTTGTGGTTGCTACACCTTGCTTGCACTAGTATTTAGGATTCTGATTATGATGAATGCCGGTCGTTCTGTTTGTTATGCTTAGCAGCTTCATACTTTGTAACTTGTGTATGGTCCAGGTCCACTGCATTCAACAATTTTCATATTTTGCCATCCAAATATTGTGCATCCGCAGGTGAAGGAAATGGCCAGCAAGCACCATCCCCATCTTGTGCGGCTGCTTGGATATTGCATGGATATGAACACGACCACAAGGCACATAGAGCAGATCTTGGTGTATGAGTACATGGTGAACAACGACCTTGAGAGCTGGATCGGACCGGGTGTCTCAAATCCTCTCTCTCTCTGCGCCAACGTCTGGACGTTCTGATTGGAGTGGCAAAGGGCCTGCAATACCTTCATGACTTTGGCATTGTGCATCGCGACATCAAGCCAGCCAACATTCTCCTCAATGCAAAGATGCAGGCATGTTAGATGTTACGTCGTAACTTCACCTGTTTGCTAGTTTTTATTTTCCAACTTCCTGGCCATGCCTTGCTCGATTGTGATGCTTTTTTTTTTTTTTTTTTTGCTTTACTTTGTTTCTTTGGCCATAAAATCTCTTTTCCAATACACTGCGTTGTTCCCGTGCTTCCAATGGGCAGGCCAAGATTGCAGACTTTGGACTTGTAAAGCTAAGTGGAGGTGCCTGCATGGACACCTCTGTGGCTGCCACTCGAGTGATGGGCACACCGGGGTATGTGGACCCTGCCTACTTCAAGACACAAAAGGCCACTCCAGCTGCAGACGTTCACAGGTGCGATGATGGACACGGATGATATCACTTGTGTACGAGCTCTGTATGTATGGAAGAATAACTATCAAGCACGCTTCAAAATGAGAACCAACAATTATCAAAGAAAACGAAATCGTGTAATTGTTTTACACCTCATTTTATGCTATTATCTTCTGTCATGGGCAGCTTTGGAGTGGTGATGCTCGTGGTTATCTCGGCACGCAAGGCTGTCTATATGACAGAGGACAGGCAGATCAACCTCAAGCAATGGGTGAGTCACAAACATGTGAATCAACAGCCATATCGTATAAGTGGTCATCAGCATTTTTCAAACCTAATTAGGGCACCGCCAGGCAAGCTGTGGCACCATAAAATCACATCGATGTGGTCTTTTTCCCCAAGCAGGTGGCGCCATTGGTGGCTTCTTGCGACGTGGCAGCGTTCAAGGACCCTCACTTGAATGCTCCAGACGACTTTGTGCTGCGCATGGCTCGCCTTGCTCTCGCCTGCACTGCCATGTCCACTGCCTCCCGCCCCTCCATGGCCCGAGTATTGGGGGATTTGTTGGCCATGAAGGACGAGATCATGGGGGCTGAGGTGCACAGAGCTGCATGCCGGATCGACAGGGAGATTGACAGCTCAGCTGACTTGGTGGACTTTGATGTCGAAATGGCTCGTGTGGAGCACATGTATGTGCAGGGCGGTTACTCTAGTGTGTGATGTGCTCTCCAAATTGTTACAAGCTTTTGAATCCATGGGTTTCTTGAGATCTATGTGTTGCATCCCTTTTGTATTGGAATAACCGAATGGTCATAACAAGGTTTCCCGAAGGCTTCACCATGACTCATCTTCCCCTCTCCCCCCCCCCCCCCCCGCCCAAACACTCAACACACACCTACACACACGCACGCATGCATGTTCATATGCACGCACGCGCCCACTTGCAACTATACGTATGCATGCACACACGAATGCACCTGCACGTACACGCATGAACAAAAACAAACACGAACACACACAAGCACGCTCGTGCACACACACACACACAGGCACACACACACACACACACACACACACACACACAGACACACACACACACACACGCGCGCGCGCGCACGCGCACATACACACACGCACACATGCACACACCCACACCCCCACGCACACACACACACACCCACACACACACACACACACACACACACACACACACGCACGCACGCACGCACGCACGCACGCACCCACACACCCACACACACACACACACACACACACACACACACATACACACACACACACACACACACACACACACACACACACACACACACACACACACACATACACATATACTGACAAACATGTACAGGATTGCGCAACAAGCACAATATTCTCACTTTAGGCCATGCTCAGCAACAAGTGTTGAATGGTCAGTGGCTGTTCTTGATCGATTACAAGTTGTCGGGCTTAGATCGCGCATCATCTTGCACACCATGTCGATATTTTGTTGTTACAAAAAAAAAATATTTGGACTAGACGAATCTTGAAATGTCCCAAAATTAGCGCCAGCACTGTAGAAAACCCCATATACTTGCACACCTCATGTTTGCTATCATGTCAGTAATGTTCTTTATTATAGTTAGTTCCAAGTTATCTTGTTCCATTTCATGTGTGAAACATATAGGAACTGATCGTAGAAGATTACCCGAGTGGCGTGTGTGTGTCCTCGATCCCTCACCCCCCACCCAGAATTACCAGAAACCGCGACTCCAGATCTGCTCCAATGTCTCGCTGCGGCTAGCGATTGACACCTCAGCCTCGTCATTAGTTCTCCAGCAGTTCACCGTACGCGGCTCGTGAGGACAAGCTACTTTGGCGTGCGTCGCTCTCGCGCGGCTAGTCGCCATGAGCAGAGGGCGAGCGTATCTCGTCGTCCTGCTTTCGCTACTCGTTCTCGCAGTAGTCTCGCAGCCCTTCGCAAGCCGGCGTCCCCTCTTCGCGAATGCCGAAGAATTCGACGATGAGCGGTACGCTTACGACGAGGACGACGACGCGGGCGACGACGACGACATCCCGGCCGGCGACGACGGCGACGTCGTCGCACTGACGGCGGCGACGTTTTCGCAGGCCGTGAGCGATCACAAGCACGTGATGGTGGAGTTTTACGCGCCGTGGTGCGGCCACTGCCGCGCCCTCGCGCCCGAGTATCGCGAAGCAGCGGCGACGCTGAAAGAGCTCGGCGTGCTCTTCGCGAAGGTGGACGCGACGAAAGAAACGGAGCTCGCCGACAAGTACAACGTGGATGGTTACCCGACCGTCCTTTTCGCCACGGATGGCGAATTCCAGCCGTTCGGCGCCGGGCGAACCAGGTAGATTTCTGGAGCGGATCGGTTCCGCACTGCGGCGTGCGTGTGGCGAGGAAAGGCCAGTCTTTGAGAGGCTCTTACAGGCTCCTCAGTCCCTTGGGAATCCTCTCCCACAATGGCTTTTGAGTCGACTCAAAGGTCGAAAGGTCAGTCTTTGAGAGGCTGCTACAGGCTCCTCAATCCCTTGGGAATTCTACCCCACAATCGAATCCATCTAAGCTCATTTCTCCCCTTTCCCCCGTGGCCCCCGTTCCCCCCATTTCCCCCCATTTCCCCCGTTCCCCCAATTTTCCCCGTTCCCCCTGTTTCTCTTGTTCCCCGCAATGCCCGCTGCTGCAGCGCGGAGATAGTGCGGTGGGTGAAGCGCAAGCTGGGTCTGGGCGTGACGCCTTTCAACTCTGCTCGTTCCCCGTGTCCTTCCCCCTCCCGCTCTCCCCCCTCCCCCTTGCTGCTACTCTCCCCCTCTTTAGCGCGGAGATAGTGCGGTGGGTGAAGCGCAAGCTGGGCATGGGTGTGTCGGCGCTGGCGCCAGCCGACATTCCCAAGGTGCCCGCGCTGCTCGTGAGCGCCGCCGCCGCTGCTGTCGCCTTCGTGTCCTCCCTTGACGTGAGTGTGATGTGGTGCATGGACGGAGGGGAGGAGGAGAGGGGAGAGGGGGAGGGGGGGGAGGCAGAGAGGGAGAGAGGGAGAGAAGCTGAGAGACATGGTCGGAATTCTTGCGTTTCCCTCGCACATCATCGTCCTTTGCACTCGCCGCTTGGCTCAGCACAATCGTCCCCTCCCCCATCCCTTGTCCTTGCTCCTCCCTCCTCCTCCCTACCACCTTCCACCCTCCCTCCCACCCACCCTTCTTCCCTCCTCCCTCCTTCCCTCTCCCCTTCCTTCCTCCTCCCTCCCTCCCTCCCTCCCTCCCTCCCTCCCTCCCTCCCTCCCTCCCTCCCTCCCTCCCTCCCTCCCTCCCTCCCTCCCTCCCTCCCTCCCTCCCTCCCTCCCTTCCTCCGTCCCTCCCTCCTCCTCTCCATCGTCATCCGCCATCCCCATCCGCCTTCCTCCAACCCTTTCTTGCACCTCCTCTCATTCTCCTCCTCCCCCCTTTCCCCCCTCCCCTCCTCCCATCCTCCCCTCCCTCCCCTCCTTTCCTCCCCTTCCCTTCCTTTTCCCTCCCCTCCCCTCCCCTCCCCTCCGCACCCTTCCCCTCCGCCCTTCCCCCAGTCCGTTCCTCATCAGAGCCCAGAGGCAGCAGCATTCGGAGAGGCACCGAGGGACACGGACGGGGTGGATTTTTTCAAGTTGACTTTTTAGTCGACTCAAAAGTGACTCAAAAGTCCCCTCTTCCTCTCCTTCCCCCATTCCCTTCCCTACCAGTCACCGGAGGCAGCAGCGTTCGGAGAGGCAGCGAGGGACACAGACGGGGTGGACTTTTTCATCACCACGCATGCTGACGTGGCAGCCGCCTTCGGCCTGCCAGCTGGCGAGCCGCCCGTTCTAGCTGTGGTCAAGAAGGAAGAGGAGCGGCTGGTGGTGTTTGGTGAGTGCGGTTTTTGGTACACAGCAGGGTCCACAGCAGGGTACACAGTAGGGTCCACAGTAATGCCTCGTCCCTTGCTCCGAACACAGCAGGGGCTGGTGGTGTTTGGTGAGTGCACTACGCACCTTGGTGCGTACAGGTGCTTTGCGCACAGCAGGGAACACAGCCGTGCTTCGCCCCTTACTCCGCACACAGCAGGAGCTGGTGGTGTTTGGTGAGTGCACCTCGCTGCATGCAGGTGCTTGGTGACGTTGTGAGGTTTGAGCTGGGGGACTGGATCTGGGGCGTGGGTTGGTGGGGTGGGGATTTGTGGACCTGTCAGTGGTGGCGGAGGGGAATGACCGATGTTCGACACCCTCCCACTACCCACCTTACACACACACACACACACACACACACACACACACACACACGCACGCACACGCACGCACGCACGCACGCACGCGCGCGCGCGCGTGCACACGCACTCGCACATGCATGCACACGCGCATCACACACATGCCCACACATTCGCCCACACATTCGCCCACACATGCGCCCACACATGGTATATACACTCCTCCCTCCGTCAGACGGCGAGTACCGAAGGAGGTTCCAGACACTCTTCGCACCTCTCCCCACGTCTGCCTACCAATGCCCACTGCTTCCCACCTTTCCCCCCTCTCTCCCCACCCATCCCCCATCTCTCCCCCTCTTCCCTCCTCTCACTACCCCCCCCCCCCCCCCCTCCTCTTTCAAGACGGCGAGTACAGCAAGGAGGCCATCAGCGCGTTCCTGGCTTTCAAGTCAATCCGAGTGTCATTTCCCCCCTTCCACTCTCCCATCCCCGCCACACTCCCCCTTCCCTCCTCACCGCCACGCACAGATGGCGACTACAGCAAGGAGGCCATCAGTGCGTTCCTGGCGGCCAACCGGCTGCCGCTGCTGCTGACCTCTCCCCCTGTTTCTTTTACGCACGCACACACACTCTCCTCCCTCCTCCCCCCTTCCCTGCCCTCTCCCCAACCCACCCCCCCCACCCCCCCACCCCCACACACAGACGGCGAGTACACGAAGGAGGCTATCAGCTCGTTCCTGGCAGCCAATCGGCTGCCACTGCTGTTGACATACACCGAGGAGATCTCCGCTGCCATATTCTCCTCTCCCATTGGCAAGCAGGTGCGATGGGTGAATGGGTGGGGTGAGGTGAGCGCATGAGGTGAGATAAGACGAGGTGGCTGCCGTTGCTGCTGACATACACCGAGGAGTCGTCAGCTGCCATTTTCTCAAGCCCGACTGGCAGCCATTTGAGGCAAGCAAGAGGCACATGGGCTGGCACGGATAGGAGGAGGGATGAGTGAGGGGAGGGGGTGGCGAAACGGGCAGGAGGGATGAGTGAGGGGAGGGGGTGGCGAAACGGGCAGGAGGGATGAGTGAGGGGAGGGGGTGGCGAAACGGGCAGGAGGGATGAGTGAGGGGAGGGGGTGACGAAACGGGCAGGAGGGATGAGTGAGGGAAGGGGTTGACGAACGGGCTGCCGCTGCTGCTGCCGTAGATTGAGGAGACCTCCGCTGCCTTTTTCTCAATCCCGACTGGCAGGCAGGTGAGGCGCATGCCAGGCAGGGGATCACGGCATGGGGTGAGGTGGGTGCATGAGCGAGTTGAGTGAGTGTATGAGATGAGATAAGGTGGCTGCTGCTGCTGCTGCCGTAGATTGAGGAGACTTCCGCTGCCATCTTCTCGTTCCCGTGGGCAGGCAGGTGAGGCGCGACATGGGGTGAGTGAGGTGAGGTGAGGTGAGGTGAGGTGAGGTGAGGTGAGGTGCGGTGAGTGCGTGCATAGCATACATGGGATGGGTTGAAGTGGGTGCATGGAATGAGGTGGGGTGGGTGGGGTGCGCACATGGGGGATGAGACAGTTGCATGAGCTCATGCCGGCACGATGCGACTTCTGAGGCGACAGGCACGGTGTGAGGCAGGGCATGAGACGAGGTGGGTGCATGGCACGTCCCAGAGACTTGCAGCAAGCCTCGTCACGAGCAGGGTTTCGTGCCGTTGTCAGAGATAGTTGTTTTCGTACTGGTAACACGCATCAAGCCAGTGGTGATTGTTTACGCTTTTCAGTGGTGTAAAAGGGGGCACCACAGAAAGGCCATGTGGAAGGGAGGCGGCGAGACGTGGAGTAAATGGGGCCACGACCGAAAGGCACGGGGTCTCCTCTTAGTGGGAGGGTGCACATTCCACATGGTTGGGCCTAAGTTGATCACCTGCTGAATCTTTGCCAATGCGAATGTTCACCTGCAGGTGATGTCGCTCTCTTTCGCGCAGGCAATCTGAATTTCGTGAAACTGACAAATATTCGCCCAAAACAGCCACCCTGAATGTGCACTTTGGTTCTAAATGCGTCCTCTCCACCCCGCCCCTCCAGGTGCTGCTGTTTGCATTCAGACACTGCATTCAAGGAGCTCTCGCCTGCACTCCTTGCAGCAGCAGCAGCAGCAAAATTGCCTCACCTGCTCCTGATTCAAGGTGTCTCTTCTTGAATGTCCCCTCTTTACCCCGCCCCTGCAGGTGCTGCTGTTCGCATCAGACAGTGCAGTCAAGGAGCTCTCGCCTGCACTTTTTTCAGCAGCCAAGCAGTTTAAAGGGCAGGTGCGTGCTGCTGCTCGTTGGCATTGAAACCAGAGGAGCAGGGCGCAAGGAGTGCAGAGCAGCCTAGGAGCTCTCGCCTGCACCCCTCGCACCCTCCTCCCACCTTTATGCCTCCCATGAGAAAGGGCATCGGTTGGCGGCGGCAACGCAAGCAACACCCGCTGCAGCATGGCGTTCCTTGTTGACTGTCTCCCATGAGAAGGGGCGTCTCTTATGATGCTTGCTTGCATGCATGACCACACAGTCCCCTCCACATTTCACAGACAGACCTGGACTGCTGAAGGTTCCTTCGAACCGAAACTAGTTCACACAGTCTCTGATTTCTGATTCTGATCTACAGAGCCTTCATACATACTGGCTATATAAAATGCGCAAGCACTCACCTAACCAGGCCCACTCTTCCATCTTACACGTGCAGACATACCTACTAAAGTGAACGGAAGTAAGGCCCCTGCAGCCCACCTGGCCAGCATGTCGTTCAGCATGACGTTCAGTCGGCTGTCGCTCAGTTCATCAGGAGCGACAGTTCAGCATGCATGCCGACTGTCGCTCCCGATGGTCGCATGCATGAACGAGCACGTATCCCCCCCACTACGGCTGCCATGCTTGTCCCACCTCCCCATCTCACTGCCCTGCTGTCCTTCCTTCCCCCACCCCCGTTTTGCCTGTTCTGCAGGCCATGTTTGTGTTGGTGAATGCCTCGGACCCCGAGTCACAACCCGTGATGACTTTTGAGTCGACTCAAAAGTCACCCCTCCCTAGCCTTGCTGTCCGTGCTCCATCCCCCTGTTGCCTTTTCCCCGTGCCACAGGCCATGTTTGTGTTGGTGAATGCGTCAGACCCCGAGTCACAACCCGTGCAAGAGTACTTTGGAGCAGACGCCTCCACTACTGCCGTGAGTGCTTGGCTGCTGTTCTGCTCTCTGCAATGCTCTCTGCAATGCTCTCTGCACTGCCCTCTGCACTGCCCTCTGCGATGCTCATCGCTCACGTGATGTGTGCATGCCTGCCCGTGTGTGTGCATGCCTGCCCGTGTGTGTGCATGCCTGCCCGTGTGTGTGCATGCCTGCCCGTGTGTGTGCATGCCTGCCCGTGTGTGTGCATGCCTGCCCGTGTGTGTGCATGCCTGCCCGTGTGTGTGCATGCCTGCCCGTGTGTGTGCATGCCTGCCCGTGTGTGTGCATGCCTGCCCGTGTGTGTGCATGCCTGCCCGTGTGTGTGCATGCCTGCCCGTGTGTGTGCATGCCTGCCCGTGTGTGTGCATGCCTGCCCGTGTGTGTGCATGGTTTATGTGTGTGTGTGTGTGTGTGTGTGTGCGTGTGTGTGTGTGTGTGTGTGTGTTTGTGTGTGTGTGTGTGCGTGCGTGCGTGCGTGCGTGCGTGCGTGCGTGCGTGCGTGTGTTTGTCTGTGTTCATACCTGCCGCGTGTGCATTCAGATCATGGGGTTTACCATGGGAGGCGGTGAGGACCCATCTGTGCCAGCAGCAGGTCTCAAGTACCGCATGACTGACCACCCTACTGCAGACAACATCAAGGTCAGTGCATCAGCATCTGCGCCTGTGTCTGAATCTGCGTGTTCTCTTGCCTCTGCGAATCACGCTGCTGCTGTTTTCTCAATCCATGACAAGGCAACCCCATGCCCCTTGTGCTATCCGATCCAATCCCTGTGAATCGCTTTTCATTCACTCTACCATTTTTCTCTGGCACTAGAGCACTCTCCTCATGCTCCCTCCATTTCTCTCTCCCTTGTTCCTCTCCCTCCTCGCAGTCCTTCACACATGACTTCATAGACGGCCGTCTCAAGCCCTTCTTCAAGTCACAGCCCATCCCTGGCGAGGTCAGCAGCTTCCCTTCCCTAGTTACTGTGAGCGAGGCGGCAGTGAGAGGCATTCTTTCTCCAACGGTGATGGATACAGGCATACAGTCGTTGAGTTGAGAGTAAATGACGGCCATCTCAAGCCCTTCTTCAAGTCACAGCCCGTCCCACAGGAGGTCAGCATTGTTAGAATCAACTTGTGAACAGCAAGGCTCATGTTGAGAACCGCCCTTTCTCTCAGCCTCAAGATAGTCACAGCCTGCATAATCACTCAAGTCAGCTGGACAAAGTGCATTGAATCACATACCAGTTTGAGGTCCTGTTTTTTAGGGTCTTTGAAAACCCTTTCGCTTCACACCTCATTCCTTCACTCTTCATCCATTTTGCGATGTCTCCTTTCTTCCTTTCTTTGCATGCTAACTCTCTCCTTACTGCTCCTCTTTAACTTCCCACCCTCCCTTCCCCTTCCCTCCCACACCTCCCCTCTTTTTATGTGAGGCGGTGGCAGAACGAGAATCCAGCAGCAGTGGTGGTGGGGATTCTGTTTGAACCTTTCTTTGCCTCTCCCTCTCACCTCCCCACCTTCAAACCCCTCTCTCTCCTCCCCTCCCCCCCCCCCCTACCCCCCCTCATGCGCGGCGGAGGAAGAACGAGGGGCCAGTGACGGTGGTGGTGGGGGACTCGTTCGAGAGCATTGTGCTGGACGACAGTAAAGACGTGCTGCTGGAGGTGCGTCAAGGAAGGGGCGTGGTGAGAGAGTGTACTGGGTGAGAGGGGTGTGGTGGGTGAGAGGGGTGTGGTGGGTGAGAGGGGTGTGGTGGGTGAGAGGGGTGTGGTGGGTGAGAGGGGTGTGGTGGGTGAGAGGGGTGTGGTGGGTGAGAGGGGTGTGGTGGGTGAGAGGGGTGTGGTGGGTGAGAGGGGTGTGGTGGGTGAGAGGGGTGTGGTGGGTGAGAGGGGTGTGGTGGGTGAGAGGGGTGTGGTGGGTGAGAGGGGTGTGGTGGGTGAGAGGGGTGTGGTGGGTGAGAGGGGTGTGGTGGGTGAGAGGGGTGTGGTGGGTGAGAGGGGTGTGGTGGGTGAGAGGGGTGTGGTGGGTGAGAGGGGTGTGGTGGGTGAGAGGGGTGTGGTGGGTGAGAGGGGTGTGGTGGGTGAGAGGGGTGTGGTGGGTGAGAGGGGTGTGGTGGGTGAGAGGGGTGTGGTGGGTGAGAGGGGTGTGGTGGGTGAGAGGGGTGTGGTGGGTGAGAGGGGTGTGGTGGGTGAGAGGGGTGTGGTGGGTGAGAGGGGTGTGGTGGGTGAGAGGGGTGTGGTGGGTGAGAGGGGTGTGGTGGGTGAGAGGGGTGTGGTGGGTGAGAGGGTGTGGTGGGTGAGAGGGGTGTGGTGGGTGAGAGGGGTGTGGTGGGTGAGAGGGGTGTGGTGGGTGAGAGGGGTGTGGTGGGTGAGAGGGGTGTGGTGGGTGAGAGGGGTGTGGTGGGTGAGAGGGGTGTGGTGGGTGAGAGGGGTGTGGTGGGTGAGAGGGGGGTGGTGGGTGAGAGGGGTGTGGTGGGTGAGAGGGGTGTGGTGGGTGAGAGGGGTGTGGTGGGTGAGAGGGGTGTGGTGGGTGAGGGGTGTGGTGGGTGAGAGGGGTGTGGTGGGTGAGCGGGTGTGGTGGGTGAGAGGGGTGTGGTGGGTGAGAGGGTGTGGTGGGTGAGAGGGTGTGGTGGGTGAGAGGGGTGTGGTGGGTGAGAGGGGTGTGGTGGGTGAGCGGGGTGTGGTGGGTGAGAGGGGTGTGGTGGGTGAGAGGGGTGTGGTGGGTGAGAGCGGGGTGTGGTGGGTGAGGGGTGTGGTGGGTGAGAGGGGTGTGGTGGGTGAGAGGGGTGTGGTGGGTGAGAGGGGTGTGGTGGGTGAGAGGGGTGTGGTGGGTGAGAGGGGTGTGGTGGGTGAGGGGTGTGGTGGGTGCGCGGGGTGTGGTGGGTGCGCGGGGTGTGGTGGGTGAGAGGGGTGTGGTGGGTGAGCGGGGTGTGGTGGGTGCGAGGGGTGTGGTGGGTGAGCGGGGTGTGGTGGGTGAGAGGGGTGTGGTGGGTGCGAGGGGTGTGGTGGGTGCGCGGGGTGTGGTGGGTGAGCGGGGTGTGGTGGGTGAGCGCGGGGTGTGGTGGGTGAGCGGGGTGTGGTGGGTGCGAGGGGTGTGGTGGGTGCGCGGGGTGTGGTGGGTGCGCGGGGTGTGGTGGGTGCGCGGGGTGTGGTGGGTGCGAGGGGTGTGGTGGGTGAGCGGGGTGTGGTGGGTGCGCGGGGTGTGGTGGGTGAGCGGGGTGTGGTGGGTGCGAGGGGTGTGGTGGGTGAGCGGGGTGTGGTGGGTGCGCGGGGTGTGGTGGGTGAGCGGGGTGTGGTGGGTGCGCGGGGTGTGGTGGGTGCGAGCGGGGTGTGGTGGGTGCGCGGGGTGTGGTGGGTGCGCGGGTGTGGTGGGTGCGCGGGGTGTGGTGGGTGCGCGGGGTGTGGTGGGTGCGCGGGTGTGGTGGGTGCGCGGGGTGTGGTGGGTGCGCGGGGTGTGGTGGGTGCGCGGGGTGTGGTGGGTGCGCGGGGTGTGGTGGGTGCGAGGGGTGTGGTGGGTGCGCGGGGTGTGGTGGGTGCGCGGGGTGTGGTGGGTGCGCGGGGTGTGGTGGGTGCGGGGTGTGGTGGGTGCGGGGTGTGGTGGGTGCGCGGGGTGTGGTGGGTGCGCGGGGTGTGGTGGGTGCGCGGGGTGTGGTGGGTGCGCGGGGTGTGGTGGGTGCGCGGGGTGTGGTGGGTGCGCGGGGTGTGGTGGGTGCGCGGGGTGTGGTGGGTGCGCGGGGTGTGGTGGGTGCGAGGGTGTGGTGGGTGCGCGGGTGTGGTGGGTGCGCGGGGTGTGGTGGGTGAGCGGGGTGTGGTGGGTGCGCGGGGTGTGGTGGGTGCGCGGGGTGTGGTGGGTGCGCGGGGTGTGGTGGGTGCGCGGGGTGTGGTGGGTGCGCGGGGTGTGGTGGGTGCGCGGGGTGTGGTGGGTGCGCGAGGGGTGTGGTGGGTGCGCGGGGTGTGGTGGGTGCGCGGGGTGTGGTGGGTGCGAGGGGTGTGGTGGGTGCGCGGGGTGTGGTGGGTGCGCGGGGTGTGGTGGGTGCGAGGGGTGTGGTGGGTGCGCGGGGTGTGGTGGGTGCGCGGGGTGTGGTGGGTGCGCGGGGTGTGGTGGGTGCGCGGGGTGTGGTGGGTGCGCGGGGTGTGGTGGGTGCGCGGGGTGTGGTGGGTGCGCGGGGTGTGGTGGGTGCGCGGGGTGTGGTGGGTGAGCGGGGTGTGGTGGGTGCGCGGGGTGTGGTGGGTGCGCGGGGTGTGGTGGGTGCGCGGGGTGTGGTGGGTGCGGGGGTGTGGTGGGTGCGCGGGGTGTGGTGGGTGAGCGGGGTGTGGTGGGTGCGCGGGGGTGGTGGGTGCGAGGGGTGGGTGAGAGGGGTGTGGTGGGTGCGCGGGGTGTGGTGGGTGCGGGGTGTGGTGGGTGAGCGGGGTGTGGTGGGTGCGCGGGGTGTGGTGGGTGAGAGGGGTGTGGTGGGTGAGAGCGTGTACTGGGTGAGCGGGGTGTGGTGGGTGAGAGGGGTGTGGTGGGTGAGCGCGGGGTGTGGTGGGTGAGAGGGGTGTGGTGGGGAGAGGGGTGTGGTGGGTGAGAGGGGTGTGGTGGGTGAGAGGGGTGTGGTGGGTGAGAGGGGTGTGGTGGGTGCGCGGGGTGTGGTGGGTGAGAGGGGTGTGGTGGGTGAGAGGGGTGTGGTGGGTGAGAGGGGTGTGGTGGGTGAGAGGGGTGTGGTGGGTGAGAGGGTGCTGAGAGTATGCGGAGGACAGTGGTGGGGGGGGACTTGTTTGAGAGCATTGTGCTGGACGACAGTAAAGACGTGCTGCTGGAGGTGCGCTTGCCGTGAGCGGGGTGGGGTGAGAGGGTGTTGAGGGTGTGCGGACACTGAGTGGGTCACTGGACACACTGAGTGGGTCGTTGGACCAAGGACATGGCAGCGGTGGCGGTGGTGGGGGACTCATTTGAATGGCAACGGTGGGAGGGGGCATGGTGGGAGGGGCATGGTGTGTGGAGGGGCATGGTGGGAGGAGTGGCATGGTGGGAGGGGCATGGTGGGAGGGAGGGGCATGGTGGGAGGGGCATGGTGGGAGGGAGGGGCATGGTGGGAGGGGCATGGTGGGAGGGAGGGGCATGGTGGGAGGGGCATGGTGGGAGGGGCATGGTGGGAGGGAGGGGCATGGTGGGAGGGGCATGGTTAGGGGCATGACTTTTACACCAATTTTGTACTCGATATCTTGAATCAGTGTTCACTTATAAGCACTCTTTAGCTGTGTGCAGACCTTAGGTGGCCGTTGCATGGTTTCCTCTTGTCCCGTCACACCTCTCACACCATCCTCACTCACCCCACCATTATCATTTTTCCCACTCTGCACGCTTCGCACGTTTCCCACCCTTCCCACTCTCTTCAAGTCCCCCCCCTATTTTTGTGTCGACTCAAAAGCCACTCCAAGTCCCCCCTCTATTCCTTAATTCCCACTCACCCCGATCATCCCACTCGCCCCACTCGCTCCACTCACCCTGCTCGCCCCGCTCACTCGCCCTGCTTGTCCCGTTTGTCCCACTTCTCCCACTCACCCCTCTCTCCCAAACCGCCAGGTGTATGCCCCCTGGTGCGGCCACTGCCAGCAGCTCGAGCCGACGTACAAGAGGTTGGCAGAGCGGTTCAGTGCGGTGCAGTCAGTGGTGATAGCCAAGATGGATGGTACTGCTAACGAGTACCCCGGCCTAGAGGTAAGCGTTCCCTTCTTGCTCACTCACCTCCTCGCCTCCTCCCTCCCCTCCTTATCATGCTCCCTCCCGTCCTTCCATGCTTCCCCCCACTCTGCCCATCCCCATGCCCTCCACTCGTCTTCTCTTTTCCCTTTCCTTGCTCACTCTAGTATTCTTTTTTCTCTCTGTGTATAATTGTGTCCTAGAGCTTTTTTTCAATGTCAGTACGAATGTGATAGAACCTCTCTGCCTCTCTGCCTATCTTTCTCTCTCTCTTTCCCCCTCGCAATATGCCTTGTGTTGCAGGTGGAGGGTTTCCCCACAGTAGTCTTCTACCCCGCGGGGAAAAAGACAGACCCGGTGAGACCAGCCACCCAGGGACTTTGCCTGCCTGTGCTGATTGCATCACATGCTGACTTTTGAGTCGCCTCAAAAGTGTTGCTTGCATGTGTGGCCTGTGTGTCGGGATTCCCCTCAATAGTCTTCTACCCCGCGGGGAAAAAGGCAGACCCGGTGAGACCAGCCCGGCATGGCCTTTCCCTGCCATGCTGCCTGCTGTGCTGCATGCTGTGTTTCCTGTGTCACATGCTGCTGTGGTGTGTCGTGTGGTGGGCACCATCATGCCGCCACATACTGCCATTGCAGCCTTGCTTGCATGCGGTGGAGTGTGTGTGTGCGGACCATCAAATACAACCATGCCTCCACGGGGTTTGATGAAGCCGGTGTGCCCTCTCATGTCTCTCCCGTGTGTGTGCGCCTCATGTGCCTGTCTCCCATCACCAACAGGTGGAGGTCGCTGCGTGCACACTCGAGGAATTCATTCAAGCCATCAAGGATCACGCCTCCACCGAGTCCCACCTGGAGCCGTTTTGTGTCTCACTGGTTTTGCTCTCTGCCACCTGGTTGTGTGCCTCCTTCCCATGCTCCCAGATGAAGGTAGCTGCACGCACCCTGAAGGAGTTCATTCAAGCCATCAACGACCACGCCTCCACAGAGTTCCACAGTGTGCCTGTCTCCCATGTTGTGATGTGTGTGTGGCGCATGCTGTGTGCACTCCCATGGCCAACAGGTGAAGGTGGCTGCGCGCACCCTCAAGGAGTTCATTCAAGCCATCAACGACCACGCCTCCACCGAGTTCCACTTGGAGCCCTCGCCTCTAGATGAGGAGGAGGAAGAGAGTGGGGATGGGGAGATGGATGAGGAAATGGAGGGGGGGATAGGTGAAGGGGGGATGGAGGGGGAAATGGGGGAGGAGGGGATGGAGGCGGCAGAGGAGGAGGAGATGGCGTATGATGGCATGGATGGTGATGGAGAGGAGGACGATGTGTTTCACGACGACGAGTTGTAGTTGTGACAGACAAAACCGCTGGTCATATAGTCCTGATTCCTAACCACAGGGAGGAGGGGATGGAGGCGGCAGAGGAGGAGGACGATGGCGTATGATGGCTTCGAGAGGGATGGTGATGGTAGTGAGGAGGATGAGGAGGCGTTTGACAAGTCGTTTCACGACGACGAGTTGTAGTAGTGACACACAGTCACAAACTCTGCTCGCAGTGACTAGTGGGTGTATGAGGAGGGGATGGAGGGGATGGCGGCGGCAGAGGAGGAGGAGGTGGCGTATGATGGCATGGAGGGGGGTGGTGATGGTGGGGAGGAGGATGAGGAGGCGTTTGACAAGTTTCACGACGACGAGTTGTACGGTAGTAGTGACACCATAGGCCAAAAGCGCTGCTCAAATACGGTACTGATTTCTAACCATAGGTTGGCCATACAAAACATCAATTCTACTATACTGCTAGGCATTCGGCAGTGGGGGTGCCGTATCAGCTGATCAAGCTAGAAATGAGCTGATCAAGCTAGAGATGAGCTGATGATGAACAGTGGGCGCCCACGCAAGCCTGTTAATATGAGTACACGTACAGGGCCGTGATTGAAACCTAACCACAATATCCAATGCACTACTGTAATCCACTCCATCCGTCCATCCATGCCTAGGCCAGGGATTGCAATGCACCTCTCATAACAGCACCAGCTGAGCTCACTAGTGCCCGAACCTCCTGGATCGCCTGCCTACACCGCAATGCTAAGCCTTCGCGCACACAACACAATGTTTTGATTCATGAGTGAGTGTGAAACAGTACCTTCCATGTCTAGGTGCCGAAAGCCTGCAACACGGCTGTACTACCACCAGCCACCACATGGCACCAGGCACGGCCCTCGGCAACAACTCGAGAGCTTAAAAGTGAGCCTCTATGAGAACCAGCAGCAGCAGCAGCAGCAGCTGGAGCCATCTAGCAGCAATTCAGCAGCCCTCAATTCCAAAGTTGAGCGCCAACCCTCGCCCTTCTCTACCAATAGCCCCCCCAACCAGCCACAGCAGCCTACTGCTACCTTTCATACTGCAGAGAAGGGGGCTGCTGCAAACATTTCACCTTACTTTCAGCCCGCGTTCCTGCAGTATCAGCACGCATCACTCAGGGAGCCAGTGGCATGCTCACCACCCCACACACACACCCTCTGCTATCTCCTGCCACGCCTTGCCCTTCGCCATTCTCCCTCTCCTCCACGCCACCCCTTCATTGCCCCTCTTGGCCCTCTCTGTGTGTGTCTGTCTCCCTGCCAATGGCCGCAGCCTTGTTGCTCCCTCAGCAGCTCAACCACCCACGCCCATGCCAACAGCACATCCCCGCGCATGCCAACAGCACGTTCCTGCTCTATCAGCAAGCATTCCTCTGGGAGAGCCACTGGCCTGCTTACCACCCCATATCCACCCTTGCCCTTCGCCACTCTCCCTCTCCTCCACGCCATCCTTCTGCCTCCGTGGCCCCCCTCGGCACCTTCTGTGTGCCTGCTGCCCTGCCAGCTATCACGCCTTTATCACTCCCTCAGTTGCTCACTTCACTACCCAAAAGCCACCACATTCATGCCCTCTTGCCTCACTCCGTCTCATTCTCAAAGAGTGCGAAACGCAATCCGCACATTCTCACCTCCCCTCCCCGTGTCCCCCTATCGTCCCCTCCCCGTATCCCTCTTGTCCCAACACACCGCCATCGCACTTTCCCCATCTTCCCACAGCTTTCTCCCCCCACCTTCCGTCCCACCGCTTTCTCCCCCCACCTTCCGTCCCACCGCTTTCTCCCCCCACCTTCCGTCCCACAGCTTTCTCCCCCCACCTTCCGTCCCACAGCTTTCTCCCCCCACCTTCCGTCCCACAGCTTCCTTCCCCCGCCTTCCTTCCAAGCCTCACACCTTGCTCCTCCTCACAATCACCCGACCACCCCCCGTGTTCCTCTTAGCCTTCTCCCGCTCAGCATCGCGCCCCATCTTCACATACAGTCTCACCATTTCATCCATACTCACCCCTATCTCCCCCTCCACCCTCTCCCTATGGCACACAATCACCCCCTCCTCCCGGCACTCTGCATCCCTCGGACCCGCGTCATACTCCGGAATCGGCAGCAGCGGCGTCATGTCTATAAGCGTCTCCGCTATAAGCCCCGACTGGTTAACGAATATAGGCGTGCCGCGCGGAATCACAATATCCTCGTCGATAATTTCAACCACCACGTCCACGCTGGTTAGGCTCGGCCGGACCGCCACCACCGAGCCTACCGCGATGCCTCGCATGCGCACAGGCGTTCCCACGAGGATGCCGCACGCCTTGGGAAACCTCACCACCGCTGTGTACCGCGCTGGTGCCACTCCCCCTCGCCTGCCCCCCTGCACTTCGTAGTACTGACGCCTCTGAGGTGCTTTCTGCTGCTGCTGCTGCTGCTGCTGTTCCAACTGGCGGCTCCTGCTGCTGCTGCTGCTGCTCCTCTTGAATCCCTTGTTCTTTATGCTGCACTACTACCTCCCCGGCCTCGGCCCGAGCCTCGGCCGCAGCTCTGTCATCCGAACCTGGCTTGCTAGACTTGGCGTCCACTGCGACCGAGGCTAGCCTACTCGGTTTGGGGTCAGCTGCGGTTATCACAGCAGCATGAGCGGGCGGCGGGAGCAGAAGCGACTTGAGTGAGACACGTGGCAGCACGCCAGTGGCGCGCAGGGCAGCCGCGAGCCAAATGACCGTCGCGGCCGCCACCGCGGCGCCCGCCGCTTTTAACGGAGCTGAGGGGGACGACAATGCCGCCAGAAGCAGTTGGAAATTCTGTGGTTTATGCACTACCTCCGAGGAACTCAATAACGGGGACGGATCTTCGGGGAAGCGTTCGCAATGAAGGTTGCTACTATGGGTGCTACTGACTCGGTCGCTATTCTCGCTGCAAGCTGTTCCACATCGCCGTCTAAGCCTCGGTGGCGTCGCACGGTCACACGAGGCTCGCTCTTCCCGCCGGCTTCCCGCGCGAGGTGTCGCAGAGTCTGCATCGCCAGCGTCGCACAGGCGACGAGATGTTCGCGACGTAAGACGGTGGTTCGCGAGAGCAGCGGCGTGGGGCGGGCGGGCCAAGCGGGACGGTTTGTTGCGACAGCGAGGGAGTGACGCGCCGAGAAGCGTCGAGAACGAGCAACGGTGAAAAGACTCTCCCGCGTCACTGAAACGCCGTTGGCTGCGGAATCTCGGCGCGGCGATGTTCGATGGCAAGGCTAACGCGGCGCGAGGCTGAGAAAGGGACGAGCGGCGGCGGGGAGTGCATGGTGGCGGATACGAAAATGCAGGCCCTGCTCTTATCGAGGAAGAAGGAGTTCGAGAGAAAGAGGTCTGAGGCGATAGCGTGGCGAAGGGAAGCAAAGAACGAGGTACTACCGGTACAGCAGCCATGGTGATAGAGGAGAACAAGACTGAAAGAACTGCAAGAAAATAGGAGGCAGTGGCGGGGATGCTTGTGCTATGAATGCCAGGGTTGCACAAATGAACTGAAATGTACTCGAAGTAGAAACGACAAAAATACCTACCCTATGACAGCCTAAAACGAGGCTATATAGGCTAGATTCGAGCTAGCCGAGGACCTCGGGTGAACGAGGTTCGGAAAGCTAGCGAAAGGCGCGGTGGCGATTCGGAAGTGGTTGGGGGCGGAAACGAAGGGCGGACGAACCCTAGAGACCCGAAATTCTCGCAACACATTAGGGCGCGTAACCATTTTGCATTTTACCATTTCGACGGACAGTCCGCGCAAAACGAAGCGTCCTATTATCTAGAAAGCGTCCGAAATGAAGTTTTGCAACTTCGGACTGTCCGTGTTATAGTTGTAAGAATGAAGAGTGCGCAGAATGCAATATCGCGGAAGTGATTACAACTACTGATCGAACAACGAGGCCTAGGCACAATATAGCAAAGCTAGCTAGGCCGAGGTCGCGGAGTCGCGCGAAGGTTGGGTGCAGGTTTGGGGTTGGAAAACCCGAAGGCGACGCGGTTGACGTTCGGAAGGCGAGGTCGTCGGACCGAGCCTGAATTCCGAAGGTTGGAATTGTACGCGTAAAAACAGCCTCAGTAAGGAATTAGCAAAATTCCTTACACTACCCCCCCCCTTAAGAAAGGTGGTCAATATCAGGCACGCGTCGGCGGGAGAGATAATCCTAAAGGACCGAGTGCCCTTGGAGTGAGTCAGCAGGGACCCACGTGTCATCTTCGCTTGTGCGATCCACCCAGCGTAGTAGGAAGTCGACGTGGCGTCCAGCGGGGGTCGCACGAATGCGATGATTTAAGATCTTCCAAGGTTGAAGTGTCGGATCTGCCACAGGTCGGACACTTGGCGCCAGGTTGGGACGTCGGACGGCTGCGGAGCCACGTAGTGGCGAAGGAGGCTGACGTGGAAAGCGTCGTGGATCTTCCAGTCGTCCGGTAGGAGAAGTTTCGCCGTGTGTCAGCATCCGAATGATGCGGAAAGGTCCCACGTAGCGGGGACGCAATTTTGCGGGCTGGGACAGTTTGAGGTTCTTCGTGTCTAGAAGGACCATCTGCCCGTCACGGAAGGGTAAATTCTGTCGATGTCGGTCAGCGTAGCGGCTAGCGGCCGTATTAGCCTTCCGGATAAATTCCGCTGCTTTGTCGCGTGCCGCTTGAAGTTCCGAGACGAACTGCTGCGACCGTGGTACCGGATTTTCAGGGGTCGTTGACGAGGGTACCACCGGGTCTATCCCGTAATTGAGGTAGAACGGTGACTGATTGGTCGTCGCAGATGGGGCATTGTTGTATACAAACTCGAGCATGGGAAGCGAATCTTCCCACTTGGTGATGTCGGGGCAGTTTGTACGGATCAAGTGCTCCATCGTCTGGTTTGTCCTCTCTGTCTGTCCGTCGGTTTGCGGGTGGTATGACGACGAAAACTGCAGGCGGGTGCCGTATTGTGCCCATGTCTCCTGCCAAAACTTCGACGTGAATTTCGGGTCGCGGTCGCTGATGATCGCCGAAGGTAACCCGTGCAGTCGTACGACAGTTGAGATGAAGAGCTTCGCTGTTTCTTCGGCTGTGATCGTCGTGCGGCATGGTGCGAAATGCGCCATTTTTGTTAAGCGATCGACGACCACGAGCACGGAGTCGTTGCCACTTGCGCCAGCTGGCAGTCCCGTAACGAAGTCCATCGTCACCTGTTGCCATGGTCGTTCGGGTGGCTCGAGGGGCTGCAGCAATCCAGCCGGGCGTTGGCGTGATGATTTCATTGCTTGGCAGGTCGGGCAGGCGGACACGTAGCGCTGCACGTCTGACGCCATGTCGGGCCAGAAGTAATTTCGTTGCAGCAGCTTCAACGTTTTGTCGATGCCGAAATGCCCGGAGAGGTTGGAGTCGTGGACTTCCTGCGTCAGCAATTCTCTGAGGGGTCGGTAGGAAGGTACCCAAACGCGGCTGGTACCGGCTTTTAGGTAGTAGCTCCCATGCGCTGTGGTGACCCGTTGGTGTAGGTTGGTCCTGAAGAACCTATCGGTCCTGTAGCCATGCTTGAATAATCCTGCCAATAAAGGGTTAGAATGGGCGATTAGTACTGCTGCGGTTAGCATGGATGGGCGGGTCAGGGCGTCGGCGATGTTGTTGGCGCCCTTCTTGTAAGTGATGGTGTAGCTGAAGTTGGACTCGAGGTAATCGAGCCACCGAATTTGTCGCGGGTTGAGCTGTGGTTGGCTGCGCATGTACTGTAATGCATGTCTGCGGTCCACGAAATTGAGTGCCCTCCCGGGAACTCATTCTCGCCCATTGCATCAGCGCATCCGTAGATTCGGCCACCTGGACGGCATCGAGGAAATCGCGTGGCCTCGCCCGTCGCACCTCGTACTGTACTTCGTACTTGAGGCCCGCGACATATCGGTCGAGTCGCTCCGCATCGCTCATGTCGTCCACCTGGTCAGCCAAATTGCAGAATGTTGCCGTGTAATCTTGGACCGACGCCACCTGCTTCCAGGTACGCAGCTTCATGCGGGCAGAATCCGAGGCGGATACATGCTCGAATCTGGTCCGCAGCGCGGCGCCCCACTCCGTCCATGTGCGTATCGTGGCCACTCCGAAGATTGAAGTTGCTCCTTGCGTGACAGTTGTCCAGGTCCCGTCGTTCGCACGTGGCAGCCCTGCCGAAGTCCCCTCTGTCTGAAGCGTTCGCCTCCACCACTCCAGCGCCGGTCCCCGCAACAGTGACACTGCAAAATTAATTCGGGTGGCATCGTCAGCAATTTGCGCAGCATTGAAAAACACCTCCACGCCGAACAACCATGCAGATACAGTGACCGTCTTGTCACTCGGGTTGAACGGGGGCGGGTTTGTCGGTTTGATTTTAACAGTCGTTGAGACTGTTGCTGCTGCATGCATCGGAGACGCCACTGAGGCCATCGCCGGGGTTGTCGCTGGTGCCTGCCGTGGCATTGACGGCGACTGTTGCCTCCGCGTTGGCTGCTCTTGTTGCTGCTGTCGTGGCGTTTCCCGTGCTTGTTGCTGCCGTGCTGCCTACTCATCTTCAGCGTCCTGGTCGGCATCCAGCTCATTGAACACGTTTTCGTTGAGTGCGGAGCTGCTACTTGCTTCATCCACGACGGGCGACTCCTGACGCGCTTCACCTCGCGTCTGGCGTAGCTCGGCGTTTTCTTCCCTCAGGCGCTCCAACTCGCCATTCATGGATAGCATGTTGGCCTGCATCATCCGAAAGTCCTGCACGAAGGCGTCAAACTCTGCCTGTGTCATGTTTCGGATACTCATCCTAGCGGGCAGCGGGTTAACAGCGATTTTTATGGTTTTGATGAAGGCGCAAACGCTATTAGTCGGAGCGAGATAATCGTATCTATCTCTCAGCCGACCGCTTTGCAGCCCACCAAACCTATCGCACCCCTACACTAAACTACCCCGGAAAGTGGAATGAAGTAGCTCTGATACCAAGTGTTATGAGTTGTAAGAATGAAGAGTGCGCAGAATGCAATATCGCGGAAGTGATTACAACTACTGATCGAACAACGAGGCCTAGGCACAATATAGCAAAGCTAGCTAGGCCGAGGTCGCGGAGTCGCGCGAAGGTTGGGTGCAGGTTTGGGGTTGGAAAACCCGAAGGCGACGCGGTTGACGTTCGGAAGGCGAGGTCGTCGGACCGAGCCTGAATTCCGAAGGTTGGAATTGTACGTGTAAAAACAGCCTCAGTAAGGAATTAGCGAAATTCCTTACAGTCCGAAAGCAAATGTTACACTTTTTTGGGGTTGTAGATTTTTGCGATCTCTGTAGCCTCGCTGAAGGCTCTGTATCTTCATCATGTAGTTCGCATGAAAGCTTCGTTCGCATGTAAGGGAGTAATTTATATCAAATCGCCCGCCAATATCTAGCCAGGACTGGTGGACCGTCCGTTTGGGTTTCGGACAGCCCACGGTTCACATTGACGACCGTTGAGATTGTGAAAAAGTGTCACGACAGTTCGCTTTGTTGACGACGTCGCCAACACTGCAGCGAATTTTCCTACGATTATTCACGATATTTGTTACATTTCGCCAGCACGGACGGTCCGCAGTTCGAACCGTCGGGTGAAAAATGGTTACGCGCTGTAAGATTTTGTCTGGGAACTTCAAAATTCACTACAAGTTCTGAATACATATCATCTGCTACAGAAATCTTCCATTAAGGTGAAATTTGAAACCGTTTGGCGGAAATATTACTTAAAGAGCGGTAAAAATCCTTTTTTTTTCGGATTTGTGTTCTAATTTTGTTTAATATTCTTTTACAGCTGTTGACTGGGGTTTCTAATATTCTTTCCCTAACTCTAAATTCCACCTAAATCAACCTCTTCATTTTGTACGACACGACATCCTTATGCATAAACCCGCAGCTTTTCGTAACGAGCCTATCACTTGCTTCACCAGGTTCACTGCATTTGGCGGATGAATCTGTTTGCCTTGGTTGTCCCCCATCACGTCCTTCCTCGCAACATTCCCTTTCCCTCCATCGCCTCGCAGCGCGCTCCCTCACTCAACAAAAGCCCGTTGGCAAGCCATTCATGGATCTGTTTTCAATAACGATTTTCTTACGGGGAATCCTCACGTTTTTTTCTCGCCCATACACACGTGACCGCGCGATTCGTGCCGCTGCAGGCGCACTGTTGCCAGTGCTGATTCCCGTATGCAGCGAGCCACGCGCGTAGCAGCGATTTCTAGCTTTAACCTAGCGGTGGCAGTCCCGCTGCGGCGCCTCGTCTCATCCATGGCTTCATTCGCCACCGTGCCGCCCCGCGAGGCCAAGGCGCTCCTCGAGACCTCCCACACCTTCCTCGACGTCAGGTCGCTTCTCCCGCCGCCTTCTCCCGCCCTTTATGCCCTTTCCGCCCTTTCCGCCTCAATTCGTTTCGCTGCGCTCATGATATTAGTCCCCGCGCCCTCCGCACCTTCCTCGACGTCAGGTTGCTTCTCCCGCCCTTTCCGCCCTTTCCGCATCGATTCGTTTCGCTGCGACGTCAGGTTTGCTTCCCCCGCCCTTTTTCCCCGTCGCTCTTTCCGGCTCGATTCGTTCCGCCGCGCCGTCCCCATCGCAATTCCCGGCGCGCCCTCCCCATCGACCGCGAATTCCCTCGATTCCTTCAGTCCCAGTTGCTAAAAATGGGTCGTCGATTTGCGAACGCAGTGGCTGTGCTGGTTACCAGCCCGCGATAATCGTTAGTCGTTTCACGCCGCGGCGGCGCGGCGCGCCGTCGAGTTCAAACGACATTCCCATCGGCTGCCTCCCCCTCGCCGCTCACTTCACTCTAATTCTGCCATTATATTCCGACTTTCGTTCGTACTGGTGCTACGTGGGTCGAACTTGCAGTTTCTTTCTCAATTTCCCCACGCATCGCGACGGGTTTCCTGTTCTGTCTAACTTATCGCCGTTCCACTGTGCTTGTGCTGACGTGGCAGGACGGAGGAGGAATTCGCCACGAGCCACGTGGAAGGTGCCGTGAACGTCGCAGTGATGACTGGCGACCCTCATAAAGGTGTGGTCTGAACGTTGCATGCCGCGCACATGTACGCACGCACGCACGCACACACGCACGCACGCACGCACACACGCACGCACGCACGCACACACGCACGCACGCACGCACACACGCACGCACGCACGCACGCACACACGCACGCACGCACGCACACACGCACGCACACACGCACGCACGCACGCACGCACACACGCACGCACGCGCACCGCCTCGCTCACCGCCTCGCTCACCCCGATGCCCATGCGATTTCATGCGGCTCCCTCTCACTCGTCCGTGTGTCATTGCCGTGCGGCCCTCACCTCATGCCATCCGTCCCTCACCCCATCAACCCATCGCCACAGCAGGCGCCCGTAAGAAGCGCAGCGACTTTCTGAAGATTGTCAAGAGCAAGTTTCTTGGTGGCATGTGGCCCTCACCCCTTCACCATGTCACCTCATATCACCCCATGTCACCCCATGTCACCCTATGCCACCCCCTGTCACCCCATCAGGCGACAGTGAGAAGCGCAGCGACTTTCTGGACATTGTCAAGAGCAAGTTTCAGCCCGACACACCCCTCGTTGTGGTGCGTCCATTGTTCTACCTGCTCCCTCGCTCCCCCTGCTGCACCTTTCTTCCTTTCATACAGCTGACCCTTTCACTACCCTCTTTCATTCAAATCGTCTCCTGCCTTCCTATCCCGTTCTCATGCTGTCTCTCTCGCCACTTTCCAATCCCTTTTTTTTCTCATCTCGTCCATGCCTCGTCCGTCTCTCACCCTTCTCGGTATTTCTAACATTCCTACGGTCCCAGCTCCTCCTCTCCGTTGGCCCCTGTTACCGCCCCTGCTGCTCCTCTCCATCTCGCGGGCATGCAGACTTGGGCTGCGGTTGAGGCCTCCTGCTTCCAATCCCATCTCTCTCTCTCCCATTTGCATATTTGTCTCTCTCTCTCCTCTTACCAAACCTTTGTTTCTCTCAGCTTGTCAGTGCCTCATCTGTCACACCATTGTCTGCACTTTGCTCCCTGCTCCCGTCTCCATCTCGCGGGCGTGCAGTCATGTGGGGCGGGGCGGAGGGCCGCTGTTGCCATTGTCTCTCTCTCTCTCTCTCTCTCTCTCTCTCTCTCTCTCTCTCTCTCTCTCTCTCTCTCTCTCTCTCTCTCTCTCTCTCTCTCCTCTTGCCAAACCTTGTCCCTCTTGTCTCGTCCGTGCCTCATTTGTCGCGCTATTTTCTATACTTTGGTCCCTGCCCCTCCTCTCCATCTCGTGGGCGTGCAGTCATGTGGGGCGGGGCGGAGGGCCGCGGTTGCAGCAGCAGATTTGGTGGAAGCGGTAAGGCATGGGATGGGCATGGGGTATGGTGATGGGGATGGGTGATGGGGATGGGATGGGTGATGGGATGGGATGGGATGGGATGGGATGGGATGGGTTGGGATGGGATGGGATGGGATGGGATGGGATGGGATGGGATGGGATGGGATGGGATGGGATGGGATGGGATGGGATGGGATGGGATGGGTTGGGATGGGATGGGATGGGATGGGATGGGATGGGATGGGATGGGATGGGATGGGATGGGATGGGATGGGATGGGATGGGATGGGATGGGATGGGATGGGATGGGCGGATGGGGTGGGGTGGGGAGAGGTGGGATGGGATTGGATTGGCATGCACATGGGCATGGTTATGGGATGGGAATCGGGATGGGGATGAGGATCAGTAATGGGGGGGGGAGTGGGATTGGTGATGGGGAGGGGGAGGGTACATGCATGGGGTATATGCATTTGCATGATGGGCATGGGGTAGGATACATGCATGCGCACAGTGCTTATGGCCTACATGCATGCGCACAGTGCTTATGGCCTACATGCATGCGCACAGTGCTTATGGCCTATATGCATGCGCACAGTGCTTATGGCATACATGCATGCGCACAGTGCTTATGGCCTACATGCATGCGCACAGTGCTTATGGCCTACATGCATGCGCACAGTGCTTATGGCCTACATGCATGCGCACAGTGCTTATGGCCTACATGCATGCGCACAGTGCTTATGGCCTACATGCATGCGCACAGTGCTTGTGGCCTACATGCATGCGCACAGTGCTTGTGGACTACATGCATGCGCACAGTGCTTATGGCCTACATGCATGCGCACAGTGCTTATGGCCTACATGCATGCGCACAGTTCTTATGGCCTACATGCATGCGCACAGTGCTTATGGCCTACATGCATGCGCACATTGCTTATGGCCTACATGCATGCGCACAGTGCTTATGGCCTACATGCATGCGCACAGTGCTTATGGCCTACATGCATGCGCACAGTGCTTATGGCCTACATGCATGCGCACAGTGCTTATGGCATACATGCATGTGAATGATGGAGGTCGGTGGGAGCTGAAGTGTGATGTATGTGCGTGATGGAGTGTGCTGAAGAGTCATGCATTAAAGGCTGTGACTAGAAAGGTGCGCCTGGCTGCTCGCTCGCTTGCCCACGAACGGAAGGCGCTTGCTTGTTTGCTAACGGAAGGGCGTGGAGAATGGAGTGGAGACTCACGCTGGATAGCTTCTTGTGTCCACTTCTGATTCTTGAGGGCTCTCTATCTGTGTATCATGTGCTTTCTGTTTAGCCTTATGCATAGCCTCGTGCACGGTCTGCTTGCTGCACTTACCACCATTCCATCCCATCACATCCCATCCCATCCCATACCCATCCCATCCCACCCCATCCCATCCCTCCACATCAATGCAGGGCTTCACCAAGGTGGTCAGCTTGGAGGGTGGACTCAAGGCATGGAAGGGCGAGGGATACCCCCTTGTGGAGTGAAGCAGGGCTGTGTACAGGATATTTATGAACGAGTGTTTTTGTAGGGGTTTTGCATTGCATCCAATAACACGACAGAAGCAGCATCAGGCCAGACACCATGACTTATGATTTTAAAGTGCATGGTAAATTTGTCAAAGAAATGGGAAGAAGTGGGTGGTTGACTTCTAGTGCACCCAGCCCATGCGTTCAATTTGGGGATAAGAAATCCAAATTTTCAATCTCACAGCTTGCCTGGTGAATAAAACATCACTTGCGTCATTCAGTTTGGATAGAAAATTTTGTGGTCAGGGTCCTCAAATATACGCAATACTGAGAAAGCAGGTGTAGGAACGTTAGGTATGCTTACTATGATGATGTAAAATAAGAATAATACCGTAACTTCAAAATCAGTGTAACTTGTGCAATACGCTGATAGCGAAGTGGTGATTATCAAGCAGTCTTGACGATACAGTACAGTGTCATCATGGCGGAAGTGTTGCCAAGCCCAGCCGGCTCCGCTCAAGTTGTGTACGTGGCGTTGGCGAAGCTGATGGGGGGTTTCTCTGGCCCAAAATTTTCACTGCCAGATTTCACTTGCCCAAACAATAATATTTTCCCAATACTTTCTCTACACTTGCTTTTCTCGTCTGCTTGTGCAATGTGTGTTTTCGTGGCACAGTCAGGAGCGGGTGGGTGGAGGAGAAGAGAAGGGTAGGAAGAGTGGGGTTTGGGGGAGGGCAGGGTATATATGGTGGGGGGGGTGGTTGGTGTAAGCGTTCGCAACTATACAGTGTTTTCTTTGTTTGGTTGTTACACAAGAGATACTAGTACTCACCCTTTTTTGGGACGAATATGGTAAGATACACCCTACAGCTGCAGTAACAGTTGGTGGACACCCAACGCTAGGGGGGGCATCGGGCCACCTCAGCGCGTGTACAGTACCTCTGTGCCGCGTGAAAGAGGAGTTCAGCACGACGAACAAAAACGTCTAGTGCTGACATGAGCCGGCAGCCGCCGTGCCCTTTTACGGAAGTTTTTCCGTGACATCCCGATTGCTTTTCGGGCGACATATGTACAGTCGAACAATCGGTGTTCAGGGCAAAATGGCTTGAAATGAGTCAAACGCTGGTTGTGTATGCTTTTTCCTACTACAGTACCGTTTACAGTAAGTTTTATGCAAGATCACAAAGCACAGGGCTAGGGTTGACACGTCACAGCGCTTTCCATGCAGCCTTGTTGGGCTGTTGCCCAACCATTTGGGCAGTGGGTTCGGTTGACCGCATATCAAGGCTGAGGCGAGGAGGCTGGGCAATTTTGCGAGCATCGAATACAAGCTACGATATGGACCACTCGGTAACCCTGAAGTCATCGTCACTCCCCACAAGGAGGAACTCCTTGTGCTTCAGTTCACACGTTTCAACCTCCCAGTCCTACCTGCCTTGCTCGCTCTGCAGCATACCGCGAGTTTCTAGCATACCGTGACAGCCATACTATAATGACTCCTAATTTCGAGCTCACACTTGAAAAGATACATTTAGTTTCCAGTAGTAATTTTATATTTTGCATGATTCCTCAGTCTGTTGGATGACGGATTGTCATTTCGACGCAATGGCCCTTCATCCCGGCGTGCTGATCCTGCTGATGTGTGCCTCACGACGAGTAGACTGCGCCCCAGCAACTTCCCAGGGTGCGTAATCAACCTCTGCCTCAGCGCTTGCCGTGAGTCAAATTTGCTACCGAACCGTGCAGTAACACTTCCGACGACATCCAAAGAAGCTGTTGACCCGAACATGGAACCAATACTTGTGAATAGGATATGAGTTCGTCCCAATCTATCCCAGTCGTGTCGAAAATAAAACCATGTTGAAATGCGAGGTAAGGAAATACTCGATGCAGCTTGGTTTGTGTTTGTACATGATATGTAAATAGATTAGTAATTGTTACACAATAACTTCCTTTGGAGACTACATCATTGCACTTTGAAGTTGACAACATATGCCCTTGCAAAAGGCCTGTCCGGTAAACCTGAACCCTTATGCATGGGGGTCAACATGTTAGCATCAGCAATGCTGCTGCCCTAATTGGATAATACTCCTCAACCAACGCCGCATTTTCCATGTGCTTCCATCCACCTCAGTGTTTTATCCTTCTGAGCGGTTCTTCCTTCTGCTGTCATGTGTGTTTTTCTACCATACCACGTGTGTACCTTCCCTCATACAAACCCCCCTCGCCTGCAGCTTCCACCTCCCAGTCTGACGGCCTGTCAGCCGCAGCCATTGCTGGTATTGCCGTGGCTTCTGTGGCCTCCCTGCTGCTGCTGATGCTGCTGCTGATTGGAGTGCTACTATGCTGGAGGGGTCACACGAAAGAGGCAGCACGACGAGCAGCTGCAGTACACAGCGACGGGATTGATATCCAAGTGCAAATGAACCTGAAGGTACCCTCCCCCCATTGATACAGAAGTCCAGGAACCCTCCCTCCCACACTCCCCAAATTCCTTCCTTACTGTGTGCTGATCATCATAAGGCAGAGGAACCTGTAAGAATTAGATATAGAAAAGGCCATTGTTACACTAAGCAGATGCATTTTCCAAGTCGTGGTTCAACTTCCCGACACGCCATATGCAAAGCCATAAGACTGAACCATGAGCAAGTGCTCTGATGCTGTATCACTTGGGTCTCATCCCATGAATGAGCAGGTCTGGCAGGCAGCGTGGCGGCCTCGAACTGCATGGAGTACTCTTTGGAGGAAGTGCTCACAGCCACCAGCAACTGGGCGAGTGACAACCAGCTGAGGTCGGGCGCCTTTGGTGACGTGTACAAGGGCGTGTCTCCGCGCGATGGCACCACACTGTGGGCCGTCAAGCGAGCCAAGCTGCTTGAAGCTGACTTTCTGCGAGAGGTGAGAAACTTTTCCTGCTGCATGGTTTTACCATGCAGGTTGCTCTTTGCCATTGCAAAGAATGTCTACATTCAATACCTCTAGATCATCAATTCACATGCAGGAGAGAAAGTGGAGGTCACATCCAGTCCAGATTATGAAGACCCTGTTCATCATTTCATCCTGTGCTGCAATGTGCCATCCCTTGCAGGTTCGACTCATGGCCGACAAGAACCATCCCGACGTCGTGCGGCTGCTTGGGTTCGCGACTGGATGTGACACAACGGAACGGCCAGAGCGAATCTGATCTACGAGTTGCTTCAAATGGTGGCCTTGATAAGTGATCAAAGCAGGTATTCATCTCTCCATGAACCATGATCTTCTTTGCTTCTTCTACCATCACATTTTTTCACTCATACGTGTACTCTTGCAGAACCACCCCCACCTCACCTTGAAACAGCGGCTGGACATCCTCATTGGTGCGGCACGTGCTTGGCGTACCTCCAGCTTTGGCCTTGTGCTTCGCGACATCAAACCCGCGAACATCCTCCTCAGCAGACATGCAGGCAAGCCCCTTAGCAAGCGCCAAATCGGAACTTACGTATCATTCTCTAGCGATGAGTGGAATGTTGGAATTTGTACAATGGAGAAGTATCCCTAGTTCTTGGTGTAATTTCGGGCGATGCATGCAGCACTCACTATAAAAGATCTCAGCGTAACACAGTTGCATGTAACTGGAGTCTACAAAATATCTCGTGCGACAACAGAGTTGGATGGCGGTTCTGGAATTCGCTTATGGACACTTGTTGTCTATCTGTACTTCATTCATGGAATTCCTCTCCCTTGTGTCATGCCGCTTATCAGGCCAAGAATGCAGAATTTGGACGTGTGACAACGGAGGAGGGTATGAGCACAGGGACCACTCAAGTCATGGGAACTCCAGGCTATGTTGATCCCATCTACTCCCAGAGGTCAAAGGAACCAGGGCCAGTGATGTTTACAGGTGAACTTGCATTCAAAAGCTGATAAAACTGCTGATTTCAGAGGTGTTCAAGTTGGTCAAACGCTAAAAATATCTCACGTTTGTATGCACTTGCTTCGCATCTGTATCATTGCGCGTTGATTTTGCAAAGTGTATTGGTCATGTGCTTAACCTATCAACTGCTATCAACCATCCCACAACCGGTGTGCAGCTTCGGTGTGCTCATGCTTGTGGGGCTCACTGGACGAAGGCCGTTGAGCACTGTTGATGGAGAGAGTGTGCACATTCTCGCATGGGTAAGCCCCACCTACGATTAGCATGCAATCGCCGGCCGTTAGAAATGGCATGAATGATGAATATGACTCTGCCAGCGCACATTGCACCTCCATGGCACACAGCAGCACTATCGCACAAGCAGCACTGACAAACTGGAGAGGCGAAAGTGCAGCTGCAGAGAGTTGAACCCACAACCTGCAAGACTAAAGGTGAGAAGCTACACACTGGGAGCACATGGCATAAGCATTGCACATGGCACCAATCCCGCATTCAAAATCGTCATTGCCATTGTAGCGATGGTTCACCTACCAAAGAAACAAAAGCAGTCAGCCTTGTAGTATATCTTTGTGAGAACTTGCTTGCACACTCCAACTGCTGCTTTCCCCGCCCTTTTTAATACATCAGGTGGAGGCTTGCCTCTCTTCCGGCACTCCAGACCGCCTCAAGGAGCTGCTGATGAGCATGACGCCCCGATGATGCTTTGCTGCGCTGGCTCAGCTGCCCCTCTTGTTGTCCAACACCACCCCTGCTTCCAACTATGTGCGCGTGCGTGCGCGCGTGTGTGTGTGTGTGTCGTGTATGTGTGTGTGTCAGGTGAAGGGGTGCATCTCTTCCAGCAACCCTCACCGCCTCAAGGAGTGCTGACGAGCATGGACGCCCCGGATGATGCTGTGCTGCGCCTGGCCCAGCTGGCTCTGAGCTGCGCCATGCAGCGCAGTGCAAGCCGGCCCACCATGGCAGATATAGCCAATGAGCTGCAGGGAATCAGGAATGAGGTGGTGGGAAAGTGGAGCTTCGTGCTGCGGTTAGGTGGATGCTCTGGTCGAGGAGATGAGAGGGGCGTCTCCAATCGATGTTCACTTGAATGAGTCATGCTTCCACC